TACAGTCAGAGGTAGAGGGGCCAAAAACCGGTCAAAGGCCCAGCCAATTACAAGACATAAGAAAGGTTGCCATCAATCATTGTCCAAACTAGACCCAGTAGGAACCGGGTTCGGACCATGATGGATGGGTGGGGGTGAATATTTAAGGTGCTCAGGACAGAGGTGGGAGGGATGGAGAAGAAGGAGTGGAGATAGAGGTGGCGATGGGTCAAGGTGGGAATGGTTCGGAGATTTTTGGGGGTTGAGGGTTGTGGGGAGTGCGAGGGAGGTAGAGATAGATAATATGTGGTGATAAGGGGGGGGGGCGGGGATTGGGGATGGATTGTCGATATCGGGGAAGGATAGACACAATAGCTAACACACGACTTTTATTCTGCTTTTCCTGATTCCTATTATAAAATCCATTTGGACAACAGTCAAGAACTGACAGAGTTAAGCAAAGAGCTTATGTTCAAAAGGATTCTTGTGAGTAAATTTTCACAAAATATGAGGAACTGAAAGTAGACATATACGAAAAAACAACAACAGAATGCTCTTTTCTTAATTCACATAGAACAAATAGTATACAATAATAAAATATCACAGGCAGTCCCCGCCCACTTGTATGTGTGTACGTGGTGAAACACCAAACCAATGTGCCATGATCTGGACAATAAAGAAGCGTCTTATCTTATCTCACATCCCGCCAATGTACCATCCTCATCATCACCATTGCCTTTCACAAACTGGGTAAGGGTATAGGCCATGAACAAACCCTTTCCCACCTTTTTCTGTCCTGGACTAGCCTTTTGGTGTTATTCCACTGTAAGACATATGATTACTGCTGTTTATTCAACCTTGATCCAGAGATGTGATAATTATTATTGTCTCTCCGCCTTCCTTACCACGGATTCTTTGTCTCCCAGCCTCCCTATACAAAGCTACCTACGCTTTTGTTCTTGTCAGTCATCATCAAAATCAAGGATAACCATGACGGAGGGGGTGCGGGGGTGGGGGTGGGGGTGGGGGTGGGGGTGGAGGGTTAGTTATGATAAACTGTGACATGGTGGGTCACTCCCGTCTTCAGAACACTAAGTTTGTTTTGTTTCAGACACGGAACCTCCGATTTAATGCCCATCTTCAAAAACGTGGAGCCAAGCAGGTGGGGTAGAATCTATTTATTAAAGCCTCCAAAAATCCCGAGCAAAAAAACGAACGAACAAACAAAAAACAACAACCGGAAACCCCCCCAAAACAAACAACAAAGCAAAACAACCCCCCACCCCCAAACCCAAAAGCAGCTGCTGGGGAGTAGAAGCCACACCGTGAATCTGTCCCCGTGGTTTTATGCACCCCGCATAATTTAGCAAAATTTGATCATTTTTTGGGCATAATTTCTGATTATTTTCTTTTATCATTCTTTGTTAAAACGACGGGGACAGGTAAACCCACACGCCACACTACGCTATCCAGTGAGGCAGTTCACAGAAGAGAGCTAGAGCTAGAGGCACGCAATGACCAATAGTTTACTTAAGATAGCTCAGAATAAAGCAAGGCGCTTAGCAATGGGACAAGGAGATGGGGGATTAAGGCACGCAAGGGCGAATAGCTCATTGGTTGTTGGTTTATAAGCAGAAGGGCTTAGCAATGGTAAAGATAGGGAAATCAACGACAGCTAAAGGCCCGTAAGGGCGAATAGTCCAGCCAGTGATTGATTGCTTATAAGCAGAAGGGTCTAGCAATGGTAAAGGAGGGGAAAATCAGGGCCAGAAAAAGTCCCACAAAGGTCAATAGCTTAATGGTTGTTGTTTGTTTATAAGCAGGAAGGCATAGCAATGGTAAAGGCAGGGAAATCGACACCAGCTAAAGGCACGTAAAGGCGAATAGTTTAGAGGATTGTTTATGAACAAATATTTTCAAATTCCTTTTAAGAAAGATTAAATTTTGCTATTTGACTTTTATTTTGAACTCTGAATGATGCTGGGATGTGTTAATAACAAAGTTAGAAACATTAACTGCCACCTACCCTTAAGAGAAAGCAATGGTCGGACTGAGTTGTTCGAGAGTAATGGTAGCAGAGAAGAATAACGAGTAGCTTACACTCACGTATCAATAAAAGCAAAGAAATTTTTTTTCTCTAGAAACGGAAGACAGAGTATCAAAGTAAAGAAAAAATAACTTTTACATCACCATTCCTTGTTTAAAATAACGACACCTGTTTCTTGAAATAATCCGATAAAAACTTGATCTTCATAATATATAATATTAATAATGATAATAATGATAAGGGTACTGATATTAATATAATCATCATTATCATCATCATGAACAACAACAACAACGATAATAAATATAATAATGATAATAATAATGATAGCAATAACAACAACAACAACAACGACGATAATAATAATAATAATAATAATAATAATAATAATAATAATAATAATAATAATAATAATAATAATAATAATA